CTACGAAACTATAACTGCAATTGACATTTAAAAAAAAAATATATAAATATTTCAAAAACAGAAATGATATGATCACTTACTCCAAGATTTCGTTGCAAAACTGAAGCTGTTGTTTCGCTTGGATGTTTGGTATATTCTACCACCGCTGATATGAATATCCTTACGTTCTCGTACTTGTCCATTCTATTTAATTGATGGTTCGCGAATAATCATAAAATTTCGTACTTCCACGAGCCAAGTTGACATTGACAAATACAAATTTTTTTCTATATTACAATGTATAAAATTATATAAAGTATTGTGGATGAAATCATTCACAAAATCGGATAGATATGTGCTCATTTAACATAAATATCCTTAGATTAATGCCAAAACATTTACGCACATGTGTCTTTTCATTCACTTATTACAAAGTTGAAAATAGGAAACGGCCATTTGGCGGCCATTTCTAAGTTTCATGTTTAAAATTAACCAATCAAATGATGGGTGCATTTACCATGATCAACAGTTGCACAACTGTTGTATGATTTCTCGCTGAACGCACGCTTTTTCTCGTTTAAAACCCTGCTTCACTCTATAACGTACGCCACGCTACGATCTTCAGGTTCATGTTCATGGCCGACACGCGAGAGTGAGTCTACTATTCTTTCTTATTTTTCTGTGTCTCATTGCCGATTATATGGAATTTACGAGTACATGGACTTGAAGTCAAATGCGTCAGTGTAACTAAAAGTAATACGTGAAATCTTTACAATTCCTATGTTATTAATAATGTTTCCAAAGAGAATTTCTCAGATATCCGGCATGTTCCTCGCATTCTATATTTAAAAATCATAAAGCTAACTTCACACGGTATTGCAACAATTGTAAAAGAGACTTTATGGTGAATACAGTTCAATTCAGTTGAGTTCAGTGTTCAGTGTTCAGTTTTCAATTCAGTAGCTAGAGTTGCTAACACGGTTGTTCGGGTTGGGATTTGTGCTTCTTTCAGCAATAGCGACGATAGCGACCGGCAGGGTGAATACATACCGGTGGATATTAATTAAAGTAAAATGTCGCAGGCTAAATTAAATTTTTCATTTTACATCACGGTCTGTTGCTTGTTTGTGAGCTTCGTCAGCGCGAATCTTCAGGCAACCTCGAAAAATACTTTAACGGAACAATTAACTGAAGATAACTGGGATCGTATGCTGACCGGAGAATGGATGGTGGAATTGTGAGTTGAATTCATTCAATGTCGTCAAATTTGATGGCGTGTCAAAAATCCTGTTGTAAACATCTCTCGATTTGTATACGTACTTAAAAGCTAGACCTATGAAAGAAAATGAAATTTTATTCGTAGCAAGATATGAAAAAATATATGAAAAATAAATTGACGAAAACGTTTCTGTTGATACTATCCACATCTCAAGTTATGTTATTTAAGTTATTATAATTTATCAGTTATGCCCCGTGGTGTCCTGCTTGCAAATCGCTCGAACCGGTTTGGGAACATCTTGCTTCGCAAAAGAAAAATCTAAATATCAATGTAGGAAAAGTTGATGTAACTGTTTTTCCTGGACTCAGTGGAAGATTTATGGTTACAGCTTTACCAACGATATATCAGTAAGCTTCTTTTCCTTTATTACACAGTATAATTGAACACTGAAAAATGTTCTGAACATAATTTGACATTCTTTTTAGTGTCAAAGATGGTGTATTTAGGCGATACAAGAGTCCTAGAGATAAAGATTCGTTAATTGAATTTATATCTCAGAGAACTTGGGAAAAAATTGAGCCTGTCTCTGCTTGGACGAGTCCAACTTCTATTCAAATGTCTATTATTAGTCAATTCTTTAAAATGTCACACGTACTACGGGTAAGAAGATTAATCAAAAGTTTATGATATAAATATGAATGCTTTATGAAACAACTTACTTGCCATAGGGAATACATACTGGACTTATGGAAGAGTTCGGATTACCTACATGGGGAAGTTATTTAATTTTTGCCATGGGTACCATTATTTCAGGTGCAATACTGGGATTGGTAAGCAGATGTAATAAAATTTAAATTATTTACACGAAAATTAATTATTGTTTACACCTTACAGTTCATTGTTTGCGCGATTGATTTTGTACATCCGCCAAAGCCTGAAGCGTCTCAAAATGAAACGAAACAAAAGGAAGGATCGGGCGGATTTATGCAAGAAAAAAGTATGCAAGACGAGGAAATCGTGAAAAATGTTAAGGACGATTTAGTGGACGAAGAATGTGAACGGGAGGTATCGGAACCAGAGGACAAGGAGAAAGATGTGGATAAAGATTCGAAAACTGAACCGAGCAGTCCGAATGTTCGTAAACGGCAGAAGCCACGTAAAGCTGATTAGACATACCAATTTGTTGTACGTAAATATTTTACATCCACAGAAGATTGACAAATGATATTTAACAGTTCGATTAATGTCAATTCATTTGTATAAATGAAGGCAGTCATTAAGATACATGACTATTCTATGTATATTATTTGACAGAGTTATAAGAATCGTACAACAAGTCGATGAAAGGAATACAATATGTGTTAAAAA